TAAACAAAGTATAGGAAACAAATTTTATTATATACAGATGAAAGCCACACTCAAATACTACTTTTCTACATAGTCACCATACAAATTAAGGCATTTATCGTAGCGATGTACGAGCTTGGAAATTCCTTCGTCGAAAAATTCGGCCGCCTGCGCCTTCAACCACTTCGTTACCTCTTCTTGCAGCTGTGCGTCGTCATCAAAACGCTGCATAGCCAGCCACTTCTTCATTGCTGGGAATAGGTGGAAGTCGCTCGGTGCCAGGTCGGGACTGTACGGCGGATGAGGAAACAACTCCCACTTAAAAGATTCAAGAACTTTACGAGTGACATTTGCCGTGTGGGGCCGGGCTTTGTTGTGAATCAACAAGATCTTAGAGCTCAACATTCCTCTGCGCTTGTTTTGAATTGCTCTTCTGAGTTTTTGGAGAGTTTGGCAATACCTTTGAGAGTTTATTGTAGTGCCTCTTTCCAGGAAGTCCACCAAAATTACACCTTTTCTGTCCCAAAAAACAGTCGCCATCATCTTCCTTGCCGACATTGTTTGCATGCATTTCTTGGGTTTTTGGGGAGAACTTGTGTGCCCCCACTGCATTGATTGCAATTTCGTTTCACAGTTCACATGTTTCACCCATGTTTCGTCACCAGTAACGATGCGATCGAGTAAAGAGTCACCATCCTTATGGTAAGCGTCCAAAACGTTCAACGCTGCAGCCATTCGCTGATTTTTGTGGTCCTCTGTCAAGATTTTTGGAATCCATCTTGCACAAAACTTGTGGTAACCAAGCTTTTCGCTGATGATTTCGTGCAACAAACTTCGCGAAATTTGTGGAAAAACTCAAAGAAAGTTCCGTTATTGTGAAATTTCGATTTTCACGGACTTTAGCATCGACTTTTTCGAGAAGAAGTTCGGCGGTCACTATGCTGGGTCTCCCACTTCGATCTTCGTCGTGAACATTGGTTCGGCCATTTTGAAATCTTATGACCCACTGACGCACTCCACCTTCAGTGATAATGTTGTCCCCATACACTTCACGAAGCTGCCGATAGATTTCTATCGGTTTACAGTTTTTTGCAGTCAGAAACCTTATTACTGAGCGCACCTCGCAGGATTTTCAATTAACGCAGACATTTTAAACCGTCACAGTATCTGAACGGAGCACAGCACGAACCTCTCACTAGCACGGTTAGATGCAGACTGAGCTGCGCAACGCTCTGACCCCAAGATGGCCGTGCTAGCCCCGCCCCTAGCGGACACAGACGGAAACGTAATCTACTTCCTGGATGGCCCTCGTAATATCACAATAAAATCTAAACCGGGTAAGGAAAACAATGTAGCTGACGCACTTTCTCGTATAAAACTGGACGATGAAGGAAATGAACTTAAATGCGCTGTGTTGACTTCAAAAATTTTAGATTCTAGAGATACGGTTATTACTGAACTGAAAGCTGATCCTGAATTTGGAAATATCTATGCTTATTTGAAAGACCCCGAAAGCTTTGAGCATACAGATATCGATGCGATAAGAAATAGAGCAAAAAACTATGAAATAATAGATAATTTATTATTCTATACGAAAACAACAAACGAAAATCTTGAATATAAACCAGTCATCCCAGCCTCGCTTCGATTAAGCATTTTGAAGGAGACTATAAAAAGGGTACGCGAGGCGGTATATTTCCCGCAATTATACAAAATAGTAACGGCGTATGTCAGGTCCTGCAATCAATGTCAGTTAATAAATGATATTAATTACAGCCCGGCCGGGTACTTAAATAGCATTCGCGCTACATTTCCGAATGAAATTTTAGGCATAGATCTTCTTGGTCCCTTCCCCCAGAGCGAGTTAAATAAAAATCGTTTTCTTTTAGTAATAGTAGATCATTTTTCAAATGGATAGAAATTGTTCCACTTAAACGCGCGTCAGCCAAAACAGTCACAGATGCATTCTTACACAGATACATTTTAAAATACGGTGCACCGATAAAGTCATTAGCGATAACGGAAAACAATTCATTAGTCAAATATTTGAAAACATATGCAATGGACTTGCCAACGCCATATCAAAATGGTTCCGTATAGACCACAGGCTAACATAGCAGAAAGAGTTAATAAAAATATAGTAAAAATAATTCGCAGTTACGTGAGCACACATCACAAGCGCTGGGATGGTACATAAATGAATTAGCTTATGCTTTAAGAACGGCACATAATGATACTACGGAAAAACTCCAGCAGAATTATTTTTAGGCAGAAAGTTAATTACGCCTTTAGATAAATTATTCTTTGTGCAACAAAGAGAGCAGAGTTTAAACAAAAAGATGTGCAAAAGCTCATTGATCAGGCTCTTAAAAACCTCGGATACGGCAAGAAATAGGCAGAAACTATATTACGATAGAAAACGCCGTGAAGTGAGCAGATTTTAAAGTTGGGGATAAAGTATGAAGCGAAATTTTTTTATCAAGTTTTTTTTATGGCAAAGCTAGCTCCAAAGTTTGAAGGCCCCTATGTAATTCAGGAAATCAAAGGAGTAGTTATATCTTAAGAACGAGAGAGGGGAAATCTGTAAAGCAAGTCCCGACCAGGTGAAAAAATACTATAATCCAAATGATTTTGTGAAATCCTTAAAAGTTTCTTGCAGGACTCAAGTCTAAACGAAATAGAAGGGCCAGAGACAACTTTTCCACCACCCAAGAAACAGAGAACTGAAGAGAGACCTAGCACTTCTACAACCCGGACGTCGGTATCAAAAGAAAAAAAATAATTTTCAAACTCCAGCGTTTAAGAAAAACAAAAATACAGATGAACCGGTTAAAGAAACCGTGGTAAAGAGAAAAACACCACCTACAAAGGATAGCAGGAGAAATTACACATCAAGGAGAACGCGCACACGGCCACAGAGTCAGGTGCCAGCAAGGCCCCCGTTCCGGAAACTGAAACGCCAACAGGAGGCACAAAAATACAAACAACAGAAGAAATTCAAGAAGGACTCCAGACCGGAGGACGTCAAGACCAGCCGTCCCACGGACAAACGGAAAGGCCAACAACCAGACGATTACTCCGCCAAGAGGCCAGCATGTAGAGGACACAAAAGAAAAAGCAACGTGGACGACACTCGGAGGGCAGTAAGGAGAAGATTAACATCCATGAACCTCTAACTTGGGACCAATTCTGCCAGAAGTGGATGTCGGAGTTTCAAGCATCGAAAAGTCAAAGATAAGTTAAAATCTTCTATAAATTTTTTTTCTCTTTTGTTCCGAAATGTTATGCGTATAAGTACGAAGTTCTATGTTTTGACGAAAGTCAATGTCTCGGTTGAGACTTAGTTTTGTTTTACTTTATTAGCTAAGGCAAAAGTATTATTTCTTTCAGTATAAAATCTAAGAACAAGCATTTTGTTGGTCGAAAGACTAATTCTGTTATGTTAAAGCCAAAATTTGGCCGAAGAGAAATAAAAATAACTTCGTATTCTTGTATTAATAAGAATTTTTTAGTTTCAGTGCCGCTAGCTTGGCGAAGAATGAGTAAAAAGTAAAAATTTATTTTTCTCCTATTTATTTTATGGTAAATTGTAAAAATCATATGTATTAAATTTTGTAAATATACGTAAATACTTGAAAGTTATGTAAAAGTAGAATGTAGTCTAGAAGCATAAAATTTTAGATGCTAAAAGTAAATGCTCAAAAGCAATAAATTCAAAATTTAAGTATTAAACTGTAGATAAAATCATGATTTAGAGCGAAAGCCTGCATGTTTAAAGATGAATTAAGGGGGAGTTAGAATGAATGTGTTTTGTAGGGTTCTCAACCTACACTTGAATTTTTAAGAATGTTAAAGTAGTAATCGAGTTGTAGAATGTCGAGTAAGGTGTGTCTATTTGGTCGTTGAATTCTAACAAATCATGGTGGTTAGGGGAAGTGTTGTAAGACTAAAACACGAATATTGCCGTTTTGACACCACACACGGTGGAGAGCCAGGGTAAAGTTAATTAATGCTTGAAAAATTGAATGAAGTGAAGTAAGCATAACTAAGAAAAACGAATCGTTTAAAAACAAAATTTATTGTGTCAAGAAAGTGTAAAATTATAATGTATGTAGAAAGATACTGATACTTCCTTCCAGATGCTGGAAGGAAAGACCAAGATTGATTGATGAAGTCCAGGAAAAGTTGCTGTAAGAAGAAAGTTATAACGAGCAACAGAATTTTAGTATACAAATGGTTACATAAGATTTTTTTTTTTTTTTTTTTTGTGTAAACGAGTTCTCGCCAATTAGTTCGAATAGAGAAAACTTACAACAGGTCGTTGAGGGACCTGCTTCAAGTTTCCAAATTTGGCAGCGGCAAATTGGGTTTATATTTATTTTACATTTATTTTAGTTTACTATCTTTCTGTCAAGCCTTACTTTCCCCTGGAACGCCAATCCCAAATATGTAAATTTAGTAGAACGCGCAAGCATTAAATTATCAGCGGAAGTATTATGATTTAATAGAGGAAAAGAGTTCGGTGTGTGATATCTTACTGCACGAGCGGGAGGTAGTTAGAGAAATTGAGAACCACGCGTTGCGGCCTTTGCTTGGCGGAAGTAGTGGTAATCGTCCAGAGCTTCAAGTCTGCTGAATTACAAGGTATTAAAACGCGGGAGTTATTATTTAGGACCCCTTCACAAGGCTCTATCATTTATACAAGTTTTCACAGTCACCTCTTGGTTGCGTGCAAGTTGGAGGCGCGCAACGTTATAAGCTCCAGTTCAAAACTGTGATATACAGTATTGTTACCTTAACTTCTGAGTAATGTAATAAGCTGTCTACATTCTAATGTGCTTTTTCATAAATCTGAAAATGGAAATTTGATTATTAGTAAAAACAATGTTTAAGAAGAAAATAAAGCCATCTTAAGGGGAGATCACTCAAAATGAGACCAGATGGAAAGGAGTTTATTGCAAATGTCTTGTTGAATTTGTGTTAATTAAATGAGAATAATCTTTTTCCTTTTGTTTTTTCAGTTATCATGCCACCTTCAGCTTTAGATCATTTAAGTGAGTATTTTTGGTTCTTTGTTTTCCCTCTCTGTAATAAAATGTGCAAAACAAAATAATTAATTACAGAAGTGTTTATGGGGTACTTAATGTACAAGGGGATCCGAAGTCACATAGTAAACATAAATGATTCATTGTACTTTCATTGAATTTACAACGTATAGTAATTAGTCAAGAAATGCATGAAAGTATTAGGTATTTTTTGTAGTAAATTTTATTGTATAAATTTTTAGTTGTAGTAATATGTACTAGATTGTAATCTGACTAATTCTGGATATAAAAAGCTCTACTTTTGAGTTATCATTCTTTAAAATCAGCATTTTGCTAATCTGTTATAAAATATTATTCTTAAAAAATTGAAAAGTGAGCATTAGATTTTGGCATTCATAGTAACATGATTTTTATTATTAATCTGTCTGAAATCACTGATATGTATCCAGACATCATGACAGTTTCAAAAGATGTTATGCAATGATATATTTTACTGATTGTAAAAGATATTTCTCCTTTTCCTGTGCTAATTTATCTTTGGATACTTCTTCTTTAGGATGATTGCCAAATTCGGCATTTATTATCAGGTATTTTGTATTCTTTTATGGATGAAATATCATCTGATAAGAGTAATTATAATTAAAAAAATTATACAATAAAATTACTAAAAATGTGGTTTCATTAATTTCTATTTAGACCATAAAAAACTAACTGAAGTGCAATTTTTTTGAAAAATTTTCAGATCCCTTTGTAAATGTTCGCATTCCTAGTATATTATTCAAATAGTAACCTTCTGTGGTATTGTATATCTGCTAGTTTTAATTAATAAAACATTCTGTCAGCTGTTCGCTGATATGTTGTCATAAATTTTGAAAAAAGAGCTTACTAAACTCATACATTTATCTGTTCACGATTGCATTCATCTATATAATTATGCTCAATTTATTGTTGACAAATAATTATTTATTTATATTGAGCGCTGTAATGATCTGTAGTTCATACCATATGCAAATATCTTCATGTCTGAGCAGAAGGCATCTTAGACACATACATATTTTGCAGCCTCTTAGGCTGAGCATCTCAAATGGCTGCCCGATATAAGCTCATGCCATCGTGAGCAACTACATTAGTTTATTCGGTACTTTTCCGTTTCGCCGGCGCAGTTCTCGCCAAGTAGACTTTATTGGCGAAAACACACAGTATACACATAAAAATTATTGACAAATGTTCTAAGAATTTTTTATTTTGAAGGTATAAACATTTTAATGTTGTTTAAAATTTTTTAAAAAAAGCCAATATATTGTAAAAAGACATTAATTTAAGAATGCTATGCTCCATCCTACAACTCCTGATTCGGCGGTTCGTATCACGTTGCCCAAGGACCTCATCCGCACGTAAACACCCTACAAAATCTAATTCCTCAGTAATTATCTACTTAATTCAATTAAATCGTATTGAATACAAGTTAAATGGAAGAATTAATTCAGTTCATACTATACTTACCCAGAAAATAAACCGCAGTGCTTTACTTGGCTAGTGCATTCATTAAAATTGATGAATGAACCTTGACATTGCCTTCTATATTTTCGTATCGGTGAGGGGGTGTGATTTGCATCCCTATGACTGATTCAGCCGCGAATGGCTTTAGAAACTATCTGGTAAACTTCTTGATGTATGCCAGTATTGAAAGAAACAATCAATCTGATAAGAAATGATTGCGACTTGTTTTGAAAATGTAAAAGTTAAAGGTTTTCAGCGAGGATATCTCGTTTGGCATCTGTTGTACCATTACGGGTAACTTTATCGCTTGTGCCAGCAAAACGGGAAAGTACCGTTTATTCATTAAAAATAAGATAACTTAATGCTTGCTTTATATATGCAACAGGCATTTTATGTCCTATGTAACTTAGCTTCTGAAGCAACTTGCTTCAAGAGGTGCCTTGTATATATAAGTTATAAATGGAATTGTATTAAAATTTTGAAAATTGCATTTGTGAAACTCATGAAATGTACATCATGATTACACTCAGTAAAAATCATGCAGTTAAGTTTTAAAAAGAGTGAAATTTAGTAAATTTTAGCCATTTTTATCAGAAAGAAATACTTTATGATGATTGAGAATGATCATGATTGTATCACTCAGTTACTTGTTAGTGAACAAAATTAAGATGTAATTGTGCATTTTAATTCTTATTACCAAAGTATTAGCTATTATTTCTGGATAATAATGATGTTAGTAACGATTATAGTCTAAATCTTTCACCTTTTTTCCTCACATTATATTGTGTATTTACCATAGTTTTCATGTAATCTGGAAAATTGCCCATTCTGAGAGCTAATGCATATCTGCAATTAAAAATCTGTAGTCTTTTGAGCAATTCTGGAGGCTCTTGTTAAGTCTGTAATATCTTTAATTTAACTTTCAAATTATTTTTCTATGCAATGTCCTTTTATGATGTTGTTTTTAAAAATATACAGCATAATGGTACAAATATTTCTTAATATTTTTTTTTTAATTTTATTGTTTAATAACATGTTTGTTTGATGTAATTTGTAATATATCTGACTGATAAGCTTTTATAAATATTTTGACTGTTACAGGTCTCTTTGATGTTATTTATTATGTACTTAGTTGATGATTTGGTACTCTTCTGTTATTGGGACCAGATTCAAAAATGTATGTATATATGTGCATATACGTGTGTGTATACATACACGTACATACGTAGCTACATATATACATGTCTGCATGAACACATACATCCATGCATACCTACATACATTCTGATAACAGAAGTGTACTGATGATTTTCATAAAAATTAAGACAGCTGGTGTAAATAATAAGGAATGTCTGTTGCTGTCTGCATGTTATGTACTTGATTCTAGAATGGTTGTTTGTATGTCATCTTTTTAATTTTATTTTGATGACGGAAGTTATGGCTAATCTTTAGAATATGGTAACAGTGTTGGAGACATTTGTAGGCGAAAAGGTACTAGCTAGGACTTAGCACTAACTGAGAATACACAGGTTCGATCACGATTATTTTGTCTTAGAGAAATGAGAAGTATGTGACATTTCCGGAAAAATTCTGACGTGATTTAGCAATAAGCACTTAGAAACAATTTTGTGTAAAGTGCGAATCGCCCTTATTTGTTGTGCTTTTGCAAGAGTAGAAGAATGGATTTTGTCAATTTCTTGACTTTTAGTGAAATAGGTCGATGTGTACTAGATAAAGTCAAGAGTGTGCGCAATGCCATTTTTTGTGCAATTCTGGGATTTTTTTTAAAGTGAAAATAGGTCGATGTACATGGATACCGTGTATGTGCAATTCTTAAAAACGCAGCGAGAGTTTGCGATCTGCACTTCTCCCATTCTTACCTGATCTTCATCTGATTAAGCAGTTGTCCTAAAGTTAGTATAAGTGTAATTCGGCTAGAGATTGTTGTGGAAAAAAGTTGAGTAAAAAAAAAATGCCTTTACTCGTCGAAAAAAAACAAAATTGGCTCCAAAACAAAACTAGCAGGTGCTGAGCAGGGTGGTCGCCAAATTTTCGCCAAAAAATCGCCAAGTTACCATAATGTAAAGATTCACCGAAGTTATATATATTTTTTTAAACAGTTGCAGAATGGGATGCACTGTCCCTATATTTATATTCAGTTGTAAATTCCCCCCCCCCTCTGAAAAGGTAAGAAATCTAAATCTAGAAATTATCCAATGCAGTAAATGTGTTTCTTATTCAGTAATTTTTTTTCAATAAAATGTCATAATACTTTCATTTAAAATTTATAGAAAATTCATAAAAAGGTTTTAAAAAAATCCATACGGAAAGAGTATTAATAATAAATGAAGCCACTTACACTATATCGTATCCAGAACTGTACTTTATTGTAATATGAATGAGTTTCATACATTGTTTTATCTTATAAACGTTACTTCAGTAGAGCAGAACTCTTCCCCCCCCCAACGTTTTAGGCCCAAAGGGGCTTTTGTACCTGAAAGACTATTGTTTCGTTTTCGACTATTGTTTTGTATCTGAAAGACTATTGTTTGCATCGGAACTCTATAAATGACGTATCACTTTTCTAATACTATCGCCCTCTATTATATTTGAAGAAATTAAATAATGAAGAATCTGCGTAAATGAATATATGTTTCTCGCATTGTGATAAAACAACGGTACTTAGAGCCATCTAATTTTGAATGGTGTAATTGTACTGCGAATATGGGCATCTGAAAGCACAAATTTGAAATTTGGAATTTCTTTTTTGATCAATTTCATATTTTATAAAACTTTAATGAATTTTTTATTATCAAACTCAATGTTTTAAAAGCAAACAATGGCAACAGTCTACGGGGGGAAAAGAAACCTTTTTATCTCCAGTGTGCGGAACTGTGTATCGGAAATTCTAAAGATATGCTCACTTTAAAATTATTCTGCGATATTGCTCTTGAACTGAATTTTGTGATTTAAGTGCAAAGAACATGGTAACACACAAAACGTTAAAAAAACGCCCCTTTGGACGTAATTTAAAATCTGAAACCTTTTTTTTTTTTAACTGTCTGAATGAATTGTTGAATGTTTACTTCTAGCACGTCTAAATATTGTTTACCCTATGCTGTTCAAATTGGAAAATAAGAGGACTCATAGAGTTACACATTGTGGAGTTTTAGAATTTGTTGCAGATGAAGGAAAAGTGTATTTACCATATTGGGTAATTAATATTTATATTTTTTAAAACTAATTCAGAATGTTCATTATACAGAGCTGCATGTTATCAAAGCTGAACTAAGATTTTCATTGCTAATATTTTGGTACTTACATATTATTCCGTCGACCATGAAACTGTCACCAAGCGATATGATTTAATGCCAGTTATGGATACAGATGGCATAACAGCACACTGATAATATCTGAACTTTTATTTGATGAAACCTGACTGTTGATAAGTTTTTGTTTTTAAAACAAAGATATAAATTGATTGTTGTAGCTGTATTTTTTCTTGCATTCTGAAAAGTGGATTAAAACTTTGGACCTGTCTTTTATGGAACAGTAAGCAGCGGATTATTTTCAAAGTAATGGGATCTACGATTAAAAAAATATGTATTTATGAACAGGATATGGCCAGTAAAACACTAATAGATTCAATTATATGCAGAAAGTTGTATTCTTAACAGAGCTTCATGTAAAATCAGGGTGTCTATTAAAACCGTAAAAATCCAAGAAAGTCTTAGCCTTTTTGTGAAGCAATAAAAGCAAAGCAGGTCAAATTCTGATTATTTGTTAAATAAAGAGGCGTCTGTTTCTTGAGAATTCCTCAGAAATGATTGGCACAACTGTGACAGGATCTCAACCAACTTTCATGGTTCGGTGATAGCCAACTTTGTCAGCTGACGGGACAATATGTAAATTCCAGTGTTTTACTATATTCGATAAAGAAAACGTTATTATTACTTTTAGTATTAGAAAATAGCAGTAGAATGTTGTTTAATAATAAAGTTTTATTTTTATGTATTTATTTATTCTGTTGTTGAAAAGATTAAAAATTTGTTTATTATTATTGTTATCTAGTTTAACAGTTAAAATGTCTATGTATTTTAAAATATAACATAAAAGTTTCAATCATATAATAACATTATATGATTGAAACTTTTATGTTATTATAATACAGTCAAAAGTCGTTAATTCGGACACCCATAATCCGGACCTCAAAGCTAAAATCTTCGCAATGCGCCGCGTTGACACATGTGCAAGACGTTTACGTGTGCGGCAAGACATTTAGAATGCGCATATACATCTGCGCAAGTGAGATACGTTTCGCGGCACTTTAAGATAACGGACGGTTTAAGCTAAAATATATAATTATCGATTCAGTTAATGTGATGATTGCGTTTCATTAATCTCGAATGGTCCGGCTTATGATTTTGCAGACTGTAGAGCAATTTTATAAAGGAACTTGAACTTGAGATTCGTCAAAGAATTCCGATGCTAGAGCTCCAAAGGATCTAAAAACGAAAAGTATGTTTCGATGTCCATCAAACAAAAAATGGATAAAGGCATATCTTTTGTTATCTAACCGTTCCGAAATCTGTTTATCAATTTCATGCTCTCTGGCGGGGGGGATACGTCGCGGCGCGCAGTGAATGGAAGTTGATCTGTCAGCACTTCGTTTTCTTCAAGGCAGATGTTTTTATTTTTATTCAGCTATAATTCCTTACTAAATGTAGTATTTAATCGCGATGTACTCCGTCTTTGATATGATTTAAATCAAATTCCTCGTCATATAAATATTCGAATACAAATCAAATAGTTTTCTGGTTGCAATTTTAATTTCGGCTATGGCGTAAGGTATGCTTTACACATGCGCGCGTTGAAAGAAATGTTAATAAAGTAAACAATAATATTAAGCTTCTTTTTTTTTTTTTTTTTGTAAATTTTGATACCCCTTTAGATCATAATGCTCATTTTTATAAATTACGCGTTCATATTTTTAATTTTAAATTCTGCATGCCATCTTACCAGATTTAAATGATGATCTATAATCCGGAATCGCCGAAGTCCCGACAAGTCCGGATTAAAGACTTTTGACTGTATAGCAGAAACTCAATGATTTTGTTGTTCTTCCCCCCTCCTCTCTGTTGGCCAAATGCATAAAAATTATAACACTAGTCTGGAAATTTTGTTTCTGTTCCTCCCCCCCCTCACACACACACAAACACCATTTTATCATATCTTATTTCAATAAAGATTTTCTGTTAACAAAAATAAAGTACATTATTTTGATAAACAAAGTAACAATTACATAAATTTTTAGGAAAACTAAAGAAGAAAAGTACTGTGTATTTGTGTAAGGTCCACTACCCATTATTTCTATCTGAACTGAAATAAAACAGTATAATTGCATTTTATTTATAAAACTATAAAAATGAAATACCAATCTTGTTTTATTTTTATTATACAGTCAAAAGTCTTTAATCCGGATGTCTGTAATCTAGAATGATCTATAATCTGGACCTCAAAGCTACAAACTTTCTGCGCATGCGCATATGTGTTTAATCATGTGCATAATACATTTACGCATGCACATTTAATGTATAACGGATGGTATAAGCTAAACTAAAATTATTGCGTTGTTCCTTAATCTTCTAATTGGATCCTGCATATTATTTTTTGCGGACAGTTAGAGCAATTTTATAAAAGTAAGCTTGAACTTTCAATTATGTCAAAAAGAATTTCCGATTCTGGAGCTGCCAAAGGATCTACAAAGCGAAAGCATGTTTCGATGTCCATCAAACAAAAAGTGGAATTGCTGCAAAAAATGGATAAAGGCATATCCTTTGTTTCTCTAACCATTCTGAAATCTGTTTATCAATTTAACGCTGCTCTGCGGGGGGGGGGCATCGCAGCTCGCAATTAACTGGAAGTTGATTTGTGAGCACTATCCTTATTTTCAGGGCAGATGTTTTTATTTTATTCAGCTTATAGTTCCTTACTAAAAGTAGTATTTCATCTCGATGCACTCTGTCTCTCATATGATTTAAATCAAATTCCTCGTCATTATAAATATCATAAATACACATGAAATAGTTTTCTGGTTGCAATTTTCTAATTTCGACTATGCGTACTGTATGCTTTATGCATGCGTGTGTTGAAAGAAATGTTTAATGAAGTAAACAAATAAATATTAAGCTTTTTTTTTTTTTTTGTAAATTTTGATACCCTTTAGATCATAATTGCTCTTAATTTCATAAATTACAGTTTCATATTTTTAATTTTATAATTTCTGCATGCCATCTTACCAGATTTAAACTGATGATTGATAATCTGGAAAAACCAATAATCCAGAATCGCCGAAGTCCCGATGAGTCCGGATTAAAGACTTAACTGTATTAAATTTATTCAAGTTTATTTTTAGTTAAAACTTTATTTTTTGTTGTTTGGTTGTATACAGTCAAGCCGCACCGTAATGAATTTCAAGGGACCGAAAGTTTCGTTCGCTATATCCGATTCAATAAGAAATAAAGATTACCTCACAAAAATATAAAAACCATGTTTTATATTTGTATATAAAAAAAAAGCTAAAAATACTAAAATACTAATACTTTCAAAAGACCTAAAGAATGCAAAAACTCCATTCAGAGGACAAAACTTGGTCACATTTAGACTCAAACAAAAAAATTAGGAGGATAAAAATATTCATTTTCTGTAGAAAAATCGACCGTATAATCCAAACTCATAATTCAGTCACTATTCCTCTAACTACTTCCTCTTTCCATGGAGAGCAAAAATTTCAAATCTTCCATTATAGAATCATCTTTGAATAGAGCTCTGTCAAACTCTGTCAAAGAATTTGAATGAAATCAAAGAACCCCCTTATGTTCTTTGGTTTAATGGGCACATACACTGACACATTACTTTAAATGTTTTCCTACCATTCCCTACTAAAAAATTCACACAACACATGAACTGAATTTACTTAACCTTTATTTATTTATGTGAATTCTAGATACAAAAGCAGTGATAGGAAAACTGATACAAAGCAAGCAAGGCATTCAACATGGCTGCCACAAATGCAATATTCTACCTAATTAGTCTTGCTACCACGCACAAAAGGTAGAAAAACTTACATACTGTCTGCTTTTATACACCGCATGCAATATTTACATGAAAAGACATCATTATACAAAGAACACAATATGATGCCCTAAGATTTGTTTATTGTGTCCTTATTCTTCTAGAATCACAGCTGTTTTCCATAGTCTTTGTATGGAATACAAAGAAAAGTGGGAATGAACATAAAAGAAAAGCAGTGTAATGGTGTTTTCCTTTAAAGATGACATATGGATCATAACATCCTAAACATGAAATATTTTAAGGATTAGTAATTTTTTTCATTAAAGATTTTAGAGATTCAGGGAAAAATAGGGAAAATAGAAAAAAGTTTCAGTCAAAGATATCATTATATTTGATTTTCATACATTTGGAAGTTCATTATAGCAGTATAAAATAGCATTAAGTGTTAGGTAATTGGACAAGACCAAAATGTTTGTTCATTATATATGAGGATTTTGATTGTAATATAAAACCACCACCGTAGTTGGTTCTTAATTTGATGCAATCTCAGATTTTGCTTAATAATAAATAATTGTATTGAGGGAATGACAGTAATAAAAGATTTGTAACAATTGTAAACAAAGTAATTTAAAATCTACTATTTGGCATGCCTTTTTAATCTACCATATCAGACATACCTAATTAATGGTTACAGAATTCTGTGTTTGCTATTTTCTCATTCCGGGAGGGGGGATGAATGAAATATAACTAATTTCAAATCACTTCCTTTTCTCACTGTCAATCTGTTACATGTACAATTTAACACTCCTAAAATACAGTTTTATATCATATTTATTCATGCAAATCCTTTGATCTGTCAAAATAATGCATTTATAAAGAAAAGTTACAAGTTCACTTTCTTTCATCAGTAAATCCCAAATTTTCATAATTAAGCTTCAGTAACTGATTAAAATGAATTTAAATTCTGAACATTTATACTGTTGTCACAGTAAGAGAGTTAATCTTTTAATCATCATCAAAAGTAGTCCTTTAGTAATATCTGAAAACGAAGAAGCATTGACTCTGCTTGGCAATACAAAGTTAGGTGGCATTGTATTTGGAAACATTTGCTCTGCTGAATGCAGTGTTAGGTGGCAATTTTAAACAGATAATAGTAATTTTTATTTTCTTAAAAATGGAATACATAATTAGTCTTTATACAATTAATGGAAGTCATAATTTTTGGAATATTTAATTTGTGATGTATTCTTTCTGATGTTTTATCTTGACTAAAATTAAATCTTGGCTAAAACTGTTTAATTTTATAAAGGCGCAGGATCTTCACGCATTCCATATTTTTGCATGTTCTTTCTGCAGATAAATAATCTCTTTATTATATCTTAAATTATTGCAGAACTTGTAGGACTTCTATGTGTATATATATATAATTGTAAAATTAAAATTCCATATTTGGAAAATAGAATTAATGAAATATTGCCATATTATTTAGTCTGTCTTTATGAAAGGATCACTTTTTTGCAAAAGAAATTGTTCACAAAGTGAGCAGGGGAAAAGAAGTTGATCACATGTAGAGCATAATTGTTCTTCCATAAATATTTCTAGTTTAGTTACTTGTCAAACATTGTAATTTATTTGTTTTACATTTTCATCTGGAGTAATTTAATAGCTTTAAAACATTTTTACTACCTTATCTTTAAACAGAATTGAAATCAATAAATAATTTTAATATGTAAATATGTTAGTAATAAGTTTGATTTTGTTATGCCAAGAGAGAACAAATGATCAGGATAATTTGAATTTTTTTATATATGAGATCATTATAATTTGAATTCTCTTGTGTTATGATAATCATTATTTATGTCATTCACTAAAACTTTTATTGAAGCTATAAATTTCTTGCAGTGTTATTGCATTTATTCTCAATTATAATTGTATGTTAACAGATGATGAGAAATCTTTTACTAGAAGAAGGTGGAATTCTTAATCTTGAGAATGCAACTTTACCTGTTGCCACTTTTTCAAAGTTCCAGCCACAAAGTGAAGATTTTTTAGATATAACAAATCCTAAAGCTGTGTATCCTTATTTGTATTTGAAATGTAACTATGTATTCTATTTTATCTCTAATGAATAATAACATAATATATTAAATGGTTTTTTGGAATGAAAGGCTAAATTATGTCAAAATATGCATGTTGCCTGAATATTTATCCAGTGAGCTTGTTAATTTGATAATTTCTGTAACTGATAAGTTTCTATATAAGAAGCTAAACTCAGTATTATTAATATTTTTATTTATATTTAATTAGTATGTTAAGACCTTGTATGAGTTGAAGTCAAATTTATTATTGAATCTTAGTCATTTTAATACAAGAGAACTTTGATTTATTGTTTCTACAATAATCATTTTCCTCATATGTGTTGTTTGGTATTTATAATTTTAAATTATGTTTTCTATAAGTAATGTAATTTATTCCAGTGCTTATCCTAGCCTATTCAGTTTTGGAAAAGGCTGAATAATCTGCCTAACATGCCAGTATCTTTCAACAATATTTCCTGCTAAATATTGCCAGTTTTCAGTTCGTTTGGCTTTTATAATTTCAGCAATACATGCCATTTAAGAAATTCAGATCTATGTAGAAAACTTGACAAAAAATTAAATCCCTCTTAAACAGGAAGCTGCAGCAGCATGTTCTGATTAAAAAAACTAGGAATTTTATCAAGTGAGCATCTCTCCAACCCTTTTCTTTGATGTTCCATTCTTTTGGCTCTATGATTGATAATATTTTTTTAAGCCTCACTATAGTCAAAAATGATATTGCACTTAAAAATGATTGCATGATATGAAAGAAAACTTATGTTTGTAAATCTTTCTTATATTCTGTGTTAAATATTCTACATCTGCATTGATTATTTTTTAAGTATTTATTTCTCAGACATGAAAGAGATCCTGTTTTAAGAGTTCTCTACTAAGTACTAACTTTAAAAATGCAGTTAATGTTGCAAGAGCTAATCAAATTTTAATATTTACTCTATTTCTCTTTATTAGCTGTGGCAACCTTGTACTGAGTACGAAGGTCATAATCCACATTTCTAAACTTACAGCTGAGCTGTAGCATTCAGTATATGATCACTGCAAATGGGAGAACATAATTTTATTTATGGTGAGTGAGGAAAACCTCTGTTTGAAAGTACAGCCAAGAGGAATTTCATGTTAAAGTTGGGAAGAGCAATTGTAGAACACTAAAATTGTTATAGCATGCATTGTGGTGTTGAAGCATTCATTTGCTCTTCAATTTTTTGGTGGCAGAGGCACTTCGAGTATTGTAATATGTGAGTGATCAAGAAGACACGTTCTGGCAGGCTATCCACTGCAGTAATAAATGCTAACATTGCACATCTATGGGCAGATAGTAAATGGTGATTATTTTGTATAAATATTTTGAAAACTTATTTATGTAGATCCATGAAGAGAAAAATATAGCCTGGCTGCACATTGCTATATTGAGTTGGCAACATTATCAGAAATAGACTGAACACTGCAATACACTTGATGTAGCCCATATTGTGAGTATCATGTGATTTATGGGCATTCTCAACAATACAAAATAACCACTGCACAGAAAGTAGTTCTTTTCAGATAAGTGAAAATGCTTTGGTTGGAGTGTTAAAAGGCATGTCATGAAATATTCAATTTTGTGGTTTCTAATCATTGATATAATGCTGTAAAAGTGTAACTCATCATGTTCAATTTAAGTTTCCTTTTGAAGAAGAAAAATACAAGGCCTATGCAGTAATATTTACAAAACAAAAAAAAAAAAAAAAAAAAAAAAAAAAAAAAAACTGTCTTAAAGTTTTAAAACTTTTCAGTCAACTTGTGTATATATGAAATCATATCTTTCATTTCAGTAATATAATTTTAATAGTAATTACAACCTAATATATTATATTTAAATTTTTGCTATAATTGGATGAAAAATAAAGGATATTTAAAAAGTAATGCAATGCTTGATTGTAATTCTTCTCATCTGCATAGAGGTCATGGATTAAAATTCAATTTTAAAAAAAAGTGTATTGTTTAGAAATATGAAAATAAAAATAAATTTTTAATAATCACATACTGTTTATACCATAAACAGCAAAACAGCATGTTCAGTTCACTCATTTTAATTGCAATTTAAATAAATAATTAAGGATTATGTCTTGGAAAAGAAGACATAATTTCTGTATTTTTAATAGGATTATTATATCTGTAATGTATGTACCAGGGCTGTAGAGTCGGTAGGGAAAATGTCCGACTCTTTAAATTTTTAAGACTCTTAACTCGACTCTGACTTCCTCATATCTATACAGTACAAAGTCCGTAATCCAGACTCGTCGGGACTTCGTCGATTCTGGATTAGGTTTTTTTCCGAATTATAGATCATCAATTTAAGTCTGGTAAGATGGTATGCAGAAATTATGCAATTAAAAATATGAAACTGTAATTTATGAAATAAAGAGCAATTATGATCTAAAGGGTATCAAAATTTACAAAAAAAAAAAAGCTTAATATTTATTTGTTTACTTTATTAAACATTTCTTTCAATGCACGCATGAGTAAAGCATACATTATGCATAGTCAAAATTAGAAAATTGCAACCAGAAAACTATTTGATGTGTATTCGTGATATTTATAATGATGAGGAAATTGATTTAAATCATATCAAAGACAAAGTACATCGAGATGAAATACTACACTTAGTAAAGAATTATAAGCTGCATAAAATAAAAACATCTGCCCTGAAGATGAGGATAGTGCTGACAGATCAACTTCCAGTTCATTGTGTACCGCGACCCCACCCCCACCCCCGTAGAGCAGTGTGAAATTGATGAACAGATTTCGGAATGGTTAGAGAAACAAATCATTAAGCTGTTCTGATTACGCAAGTAATATCGTGCTTAGTAGAAAAAAATGCGGTTCATTTAGACTGTCTGGACTTAAACGACACTTGAAACCTGGTGAATCCCTTTCTGAATATGTAATTGCCATGAGAGAAATATCCAGTCGCGGTTCTGTTGATGATTCATCAATTCTTGATTATGCAATCAATGGGATACCCGATCAGAGTAGTAACAAAATTATGTTGTATGGGTGTAAAACTGTTTCTGAATTCAAAGAGAAATTAAAAATTTATGAGAAAATCCGTGTTCCAGATACGAAGAATAAGGGTTATTCATGTACTAACACACAAAATAAAGCATGCGCTATACTTAATAAGAGTAACAAACCAAGGTGTTATAACAGTGGATGTATAGGGCGCTTAATGTATGTGCATTCTTTGCGCGCATGCGTAAAGCATACAAAAAAAAAGTTTGTGGCTTTGAGGTCCAGATTATAGATCATTCCGGATAATGGATGTTTGGATTACAGACTTTGTACTGTATATATATATATATATAAACATGCACACATGGATTACACCTTATTTTTTTAATATAAAAGAAGTAATAGATGCTACAGAAAAAAAATTGATGGCATAGCAAATAATTTATATTAATTAGCATTTATTATGAAATGGAAAAACTTTCATTAGTTATTTCTAAGAAACAGTATAGCTTCGGCAAGATCTTCTTTGGAAGCCCATAGATCTGATTCATAAGAGGAGATAGATCTGATTTGATAAACTTCAAAGCTGAGAAGTGTCTTTCCACACTAACTTGAGTAGGGGGAAGAGCTGTTACTGTTAGGGCTTTTACTTCTTTTAACTTTTCAAGACAGATCCTAGTTCTTTCACACATAACTGTTCTTGATGTATGATACAATGATACCCAAGCAAAGCAAATCTTTTTCTCTACCAACCAAATGTTTTCTCAGTAGATTCAGTATGCCATTCTGAATTTCAATCATGGCTGGAGTAGTGATACTATCTAGTAGCGATACTAACAAATTTGTTAATATCAAAATTATGTGCAGAACACAACTGAGGGTAAAAACATCAATTCCAGTTATTCGCCCCTTCATTGAACTCATTCCTACAAGTTCTTCAGTTACTTCAGAATTTTCAAAAATTCCTCTGACAAACAAAAGAAGCTGAGCTGTTGAAGTAATATCTGTTGACTCATCAGCTGCTAGAGAAAAGTACTTAAATTGGTGGCAGCGGCAGCATTTTGTAATTCTTCAGTAACATCATCAGATAAATTTTCAATTCTTCTTTGAACTCTCATTCTGCTGAGACTCACATTTTTAAATTTCTGTGTAACTTCAGGACATACTTTCTCAGAAGCCAAAAATATACATTCCTTCGCAAAATCGCAGTCAGGTAAATGGGCGGCCACTTTTAGCAATTTAGGCTGCAGTTCCCAAACTAACTTCAACACAGTTATCTAACTGTGAAGATGCCTTTGTAAATACAGTCAAAAGTCTTTAGTCCGGACTCGTCGGGACTTCGGCGATTTCGGATTACCGGTTTCTCTGGATTATAAATCATCAGTTTAAATCTGGGAAGATGGCATGCAGAAAAAAGAGGTGTCTTGCAAGCACAATCATATTTCTCTATTTTTCAAAGGTCATGTAGAAATCTTGTTTGTATTTTTTTTTTTTTTTTTTTTTTTTTTTTTTTTTTTTTATACCTAAAGGCTCTTGTTTCTTCATTTTCTTTGCCTTAGCCTTTTCAATATTATCAAAAAATATTTCTCAAAATCTAATTCATCACTGGAAGAGGATGATAGAGACCCATTTGCAATGTCTGCAGTTTGACTGTCTTTCTCCAATTGTTCTGAGAATAATTTCATTCTTAATGAAAGTTCATAGATGGCTTTCTTTGCCTTTTTAATTTGTTTGTCATCCAAGAAAATTCGGTGTACATACATTGAACCCAGCAAGATCTCATTCTCTAACTAGTTTCTATTTTTTTCATTGAAGAAATGATTCCTTCTGTAATAAACCCTCTGTTTCAGAAAGAACATTCTTCCATTCTCGCCTCCTGTCAATTTTTCAGATTGCAGCTTTTTTGTGGCTATATACGGTGTAGAAAGAAAAGTTTCCAATTCTGTAAGATCATTCCACAGTCTTTCTTTTCTGTTAGTGAAACATTATGGGTATCTACATCTTCTAAAAAGTTCTTAATTCTAAAAACCTCTTTGCCATCAAATATGTACTTCTTTATCGCATGGCTTGATCAATAATTGCTCCTTTTCCTGCCCGCTTCCTAAAAATGGCATCAATTTTGGCAGTTCTTGCTGCTTACCTAAATTTACCAGTGAGATTTATAACTAAATGAATCAGTTTAATCACTAATGGCAAATATCACATCCATCCTCCTCATATTTATTTATTAATAAGTCAATAAAATAGAAAATAACTATTTATTAATGTATATAGCTCATAAACAAAAATAACTCAGTTTTTCATTAATTTTTTTCCAATTCATTTTAATTTCATTTCAAATTCAAACTGTCCAACAAAAACTGGAGTCGGAGTTGGCCTGTTTTTAGCGACTCCAGCTCCGACTCCTTTTACCCCAAAATCTGCCCAACTCCGACTCCACAGCCCTGAATTTAACGTAGATTAATTATGCAAATATTAATGTTTGTCTTAAACGTTTAAGTATTTGCATATTTTTATTTTTATATATTTATTTATGTATTATTTTAAAATTTACATTATTTCAGCATTATTGCTTAATCATAGGTTTTCTGTGTTCTCATTGCTTTAATTCAAACATATTAACTACTAATTCCATAATTTTTTATAAGCTAAAAATATTGTTTTATTACTGTGCTTAATTATTGTGGACAACAAATAAAGCTAGCCTATATCACAGAATATTTATCTGTTCCCTTGTGTGTTAATGGCAGTGAAACTTTGGTTCATGAATTCAGTTCATTCCTCAAGGCTGTTCATAAACCATAACTATTAACCACTTGCACTACGACTAAACTTCACGGTTGCGATGCCGTGCGCTACAATATAACAAGCGGTAAAGTGTCTCATTTACGCCGCTCTGTGTCTGTGAGTGCTATCCAGAGCTGTAACTCGAGAAATAAACAATCTCTTTGTTAGACGACGTGTGCACCACGTTATTCTCATTTTTGCAATAAATGCCTATCGACGTGGTGTTCACGTCGCTCACGGTTTGAGAGAAAAGCATCTCGACGTGCTTGGCACGTCTTTTTAGCGCAAGTGGTTAACCACAGATGATTGCTTACTTAAAATTTACAATAATACTTTGTGTGAAAATGCATAACATAGAACTAATGGAAATCATTAAATTTAAGACAAAATAAGTAAATATGATATTAAAGGAAAAAAGTGGATGAAAATTCAATTTAGTTTTACTGTATCTGTATTCAAACCTTTAAATAAGGTTTATATCACAGTGTAAATTAATTAGCTATGTTTGTTATTCACGTTCATTTTTAGTATGGAAAATATGTAAAATTGTACCCGAAATCATTAAAATATTAAACTTTTTCTTCAAATTCTTATAATAATGCTGATTAATTTACTGGAAATGTATTCATGGATTGTGTAAAATTGCTTCAGATGACACACGTGTACTATGGCTACCATTTTTGAAACCACTATCATAAGTAACAAAATAGTCCTCAGTGTCAAAGCTCTCTGTCTGCTACACAATGTGCTCATAGTTTTTTTAAGACTGTTAATTTTTGTGTAAGCTATTTGCTACCAGGCTTTGTGAATGGCATATTATACGATTAATGGGATTATTGTATGATACATCATTGGAAAATACTGAAAATTTTAGAAGTTCCTAACTGTTAATTATTTATCTGAGGTTGCCTCAAACTTTTCTGGAAATAATTTATTGCCATCTTGAATGTTCATAACTTGAGACATTGTTCATCAACTAAGATGTTTTTTGTTGAGATAACTTTCTTTTTTGTGATGAGAGGCATTTGTGATCCAAGGTTCCACTGTATGTACCAATTGTTATGCTAATTATTTGTCCTATTAATTAATATAACTATAATAACAAATTTAAACTTATTTTTTGTATTTTTAATGCTAAATATACTATAGAATTTGGGATGTTTAAAATGTAAATGAGAAAACCTGAATTTCTATAACATTTTTTGCAGACCAATTACATCATAAATTTTAGTTTAAAAACTTAAATTTTATATCATGTTTGATCTCTTAATAAGTTTTAAGTTTTGGAGAGTTCAAATGTCTGAGTTAATGTGCTAAAGCATTTTCGTATGAAATTTGACTATAAATAAGATTAACTGTATTTTCTAGAGAACTTACAGTAAAACTATTTATGATAGAAATAAGCTGATCAATGCTGTAGCATTAGTTTTTAAGTACATTTATTCCAGTGGATATTCAGAGCATTAAATAATAAACAATTTTAACTGCTATCATGTAAGTGTTGCCCAAATGAAAAGTGGACAAGTTAAAGAAAAATAATACCTTTAATGTAAATCAAAAGAAATCGCCGTGGGCATTGAAACACAGGTCCCAGCATTATGGCAGCAGCTTGATGCCTTTGCTGTAGAAAGATTGGGGCTGATTCCTGAGGAAGTCCTGCACGGCTTTCTTCACTCCATCGTCTGAATGGAAACGTTTCCCCTGTAAGGCTCTCTTAAGTGGCCCAAAGATGTGAAAGTCATAGGGTGACATGTCTGGGCTGTACGGGGGGGGGATGTTCCAAAACCTCCCAACGGAATGTGTTTAAGGTCCTCTGGGTTTCCTGGGAGATGTGTGGGTGGGTATTGTTATGCAGAAAGATCACTCCTTGTGTGAGAAGGACCGGCCGTTTGTTTTTTATTGCTTGTCGCAGTTTCATGAGAGTACTGCAATATTGTGCGGAATCGATAGTGCTCCCTTGGGAAAGGAACTTGATTAAAAGTGGTCCACAACAATCGAAGAAAAATGAAAGTATCACTTTCCGTGCAGTTATCGTTGCTTTCGATTTCCGTGGTGGAGGAGATGAGCTGTGTTTCCATTGCATACTCGTTTTCTTGGATTCGGGTGTGTAGTGATGGCACCAGGTCTCATCGCCTGCAATGATACGATCCAGAAATGCGAGATTCTCCTCATAACGGATCTAGTGCTGGAGACAGAAGCCCATTCGTCGTTTCTGATGATCAAGGGTCGGGAGTTTTGGTACCCATGCCGCACACACTTTGCTGTACCCCAGGTGTTTGTGAATAATGATGTTAACCATTCCTCTACTCAGATTGAGTTCGTGACTGATTTCACGGGTCATAACCCTTCAATTAGCTTGGATCATTTCATTAACGGAGGCAATGGAATCATTGGTGATCACTTTGTTTGCTTGGCCCGGTCTCGGCAGATCCGATGTCGTTTGCTGCCCTTCACGGAAACTTTTACACCATTTGTTTACAGCCCTACGACCTAAACAGTGATCACCATACGCTGTCACCATTCTTCGATAGATGTCCACATTACGCTCACCTTCCGCAACTAGAAATTTGGCAACATTTTCATTTGGGCAACCCTTATACTACCACGTGTTGTTCTGATCTGGATGCATCCATAGATAGCACGACTTTCCTTTCGCACAATTTAATCTCCTACAAACAAGTTTCACGGTTAAATGCCATCTAAGATGCATACATCATACCACCCTTTATATACTTGTGCAGTGGCGCTGCTATCAATGCATTCATTCTGACGTTATCGTACGTGTCCTTTTTTTCATTTGGGCAACCCTTATATTAAGCATATAAAAATTAGTGAAACTACTTATGATTTTGGATAACATTCAGCTGTTGCTGAAAAATAATTGATTTGTTCATCTCTACCTGCTGTCGTTCTTTTCGTTGATGTAATCTTAATATAACTCAGAATTATACATTTAGATTTTACATTATACTTTATTGATACTGGAAATTTGTGAATGTTGTGCCTAATATTTGTACCAGATTTGAATTTCTTAGCCTATATCAAGATTAGAAAATGCCTTAAGGAATTTTGCCTGTTTAACTACGGGGGACATGATAGCTATTGAGTATAATGATAAGGTAAATTTTATGTATCTTTATTAATAAAAGTAATAATTACTATAATTTGCTTAGAAATTTCTGAGTAAAATATTTTAATGGCAGTATTTAAATGTTATTTATACGTTTTTCCATTAACTTAACAGAAGTTGTATACATAAAATATGACTGCTGTATATACTCTTTTAACAAATAATATCTGTTGCCCAAGAAAATCATTTAGTTTTGCCATTTTGAATAGCTTATTTTACATACAAGATTTTATGCTCTATATCAGTGGCGTAGCTAGGGTGGGGCAAGGGGGGACATCTGTCCTGGGTGCAGCGTCTAGGCAGTGCCAAATTGATGCTACGAAATTTTTTAATGAAATGTTTACATAGTTTTATATTCCTTATTAGCTTATATTTTAATTATATTTTTTGTTCTGTTTTTAAATATAGTAAGTAAATATTTTTTCCCTCCCCAGTCATAGGAAGAAAAATTCTTATTTACCCAAAAAAATACAATCTAAAAAATTTTGGTTAATATCTTGAAGAGTTTTATAATTAATTTTTCAAAAAATTGATAAATATTTTTAAAAAGTACAAAAATCATAAGATTAAAAAGAAATTGCAATCTAATCTTGATATGCTAATTTCCTGAAATACCTCAGACAAATTTAAGTTACTACTTATAATATCCTTATTAGTTATCAATAAGTGTGCAGAAATGAAATGTATAGAGCAGTGGCGTAGCTAGGATTCCAGCGCCCGGCGACAACTGAGGAATTTGCGCCCCTTTCTGTGTGCCAAGAATGGAAAACATTTCATTAAAAAATTTCGTAGCATCAATTTGGCACTGCCTAGACGCTGCACTCAGGACAGATGTCCCCCCTTGCCCCACCCTAGCTACGCCACTGGTATAGAGCTTAAAATCTTGTATGTAAAATAAGCTATTCAAAATGGCAAAACTAAATGATCGGAAGAAATATGTGATATTATTTAATTTTAAATAATCATTATGTAGAGATTATTTATATAATTATTTATTAAAGAAAAGACTTGATTATTCAAAACATAGTCATGCATTAATTTCACTGGATTTTTTTTTGCACTTGAGGTTTGCAACTAATACTCCTTTTTGAGTGGCAAGATTTTCTATTCTGTCAGGTCATGGAAAAAGCAAATGGAAAATAGTAAATATCTTAAGGAAGTTTCCTGTGAAGTATTAAAAGAAAATTTAATAATTTGGTAATCAAAAATTATCTTGCTATTTTTATTCAATGATTCTGTCAAAAATTGTTGTTTTCCAGAAAGAAATTTTGTGGTAATGAAAACTGGTCTTCTTAGGATTTGGATTTTTTCTATCCCAAACTGTGTAATTTTTTGTTGTGGTATTTTTTTAACTTTATCCAGTGCATTGTAAATATACACAAGCTCTCTTTTCAAATCTTCTATGAAAATCCTCCCTTCCTGAGAATAAATCCCAATCCAGACAGTATGATGGTTAGCATATATGTTGGATTTGCCTTTAAATCACAGACAAGATATGGATGTATGTAAAATCATAATGCATTTGCAGATGGATGGATTTTAAAATCCTGTTTAGTAATTAATGTTAGGAAAAGAAGGATACAATAACCTTTAAATTATGTATGCTAGGATACTATCAGTGAAAACCAGGATGGTGCTTTGCAAGTAGTTCTCACATGCTTTGCCAAAACTGAATATCTTTTAATAGTGAAATACATAGATTTCATTTGTAGATTGTTGCTTACACTAAATTATTAAACAGATCCTTCAGTAATCATGAGTATATCTGTTATTGGCCATAAACGTACGTACAATAAAAGTTATAACCGTAAAACTTTTGCTGCATTCTGCCTGAATTTTGATTGAGAATATTTTGAGAATGAAATCTGCAGGCTTTATATCCCTCTTCCCATATAACATCAACTTCTCGAATAGAATTTCAGCTTGATAAATTTTAAGTTTCATAAATAACTCAATCAAAAATGTCCATGTTTTACCGGATTTTGTTATATTTAAACCTCAGTCTTCAAAGACAAGGAATTTCCACTTATTACACCAAAAAACAACCTAGAACTACAAAATGAAATACATATTATTTTATGTAATACATGTATTGCTTGATATGAAATTAAGTAGTATTGCATTTTTAACTCTTGTAACTTGTATTTTACTTCATTTTAGATATATGAATTTTGTGTTTTGGAAACTAGACCAGGAAAAGCAGTATCAATTATTGAATGTGATATGAATGTAAGTGTAATGATTATTAATTGCTGCAATTACTGTCCTAGAAATGAAAATCTGTCATAAAAAATCTAGCCTTTTTTAAAAAATATTGTTGTGTTTTGCTTTACTTAAATTATACCAAATTTTTTATTATAATTTATGTTGTTACTATATTGAATGTATAAATGTTTATTAACTCATAATAGTTTTGTCCATTATCAATACTATATTAAAAATGTAATCTAAGATATTTTTTTAATCAAGATTCTTATTCACCTGTAGAATTCTGAAAAAGTTGTGAAAGGTCACGAAAAATTCCAACTTTTTTTTTAAATGCCAAGGAAAATCAAAATTTTTATTTATACATTAGAATTCTAATAATCCACACCTCGGGACTAAGAATTGTGTACATTAGTGAATTTTGTGGATTATAGTTGTTTATTTCCCAGATTTATTTATGTTTTTTTCCGTTTAATTTTACGTTAAATCCGGATTGTTTGCACATAAATAAATTACCAAAACATGCTCTTACGCAAAATATTACTTAATCAAGATTTATTGAATACAAAACTCATATATTTTTTAAGTATAATCGTGTAAAAAAAGATAATACAACAAGGGGAAAAATTGATAAAGAGATAAAATAGGAAAATATTTTCCAAAAATCCATCAAAGAATTTTATGTTTTAATAAAATTGCTTATACCTCATGAAATTACTTTCAAAATAATTTTTATGCTCTTAAACCAGAATAAGTAAATAAAGGCACTATTTATTAGAACCTATATGATAATTCTGCTGTTGTATGCAGGTTAATAGCTGTATATAACAGCAGAAAAAATACAGCATACAGCTGTATTTTTGAGACTTTTTTAATACTCAATTATATTTTAAAATTGAAGCTAATTTTAATATTCATAAAAGGCAAGTATAGACAGATAAAAAAAGTAAGTTTAGCATTACTTACTTCTGCAAGGGAATTTACTTCTTCCTGGTTACAAAAACACACTTTAAACTATAATATTTTTATTTAGTTCTAAAAAACAGAAATAAAAGGAAATAAGGAATGGAAATCGCTATTGTTCTCCCATCCAAAGGCTTCCTTGTCTTCCTTATCTTCATCAGATAATTCTGGAAGAATGCAAGCAAAATTAGCTGGTTGCAATTTTTTTTTTTTTTTTTTTTTTTTTTTTTTTCCCCATGAAAACCGATATAAAATTTACAGAGCCAAATGTATTCAAATTAAAATAATACATGGCAGTTAATAACACAACATTACAAAATATTTGAGAAGGAAAATATTTTCCGAATTTTCACCCAGGACCACGTGCGTGTCATAACTTTTACAAAAAAGCTGCCACGTAGCACAAAAGCCCAGCCAAAAAAAAAGTCAAATTACTTCTTGTTGGCACATTCTATGATGTGGGGGAAGGATAGAAAGGAGGAATAGAAATGGCATTCAGACGTCTCAGCTTCGATATGCGAAAAATGTGCATTAAAAACTGAATTTATCATAAATTTTGCACATACGTGCTGGAAGGTTAATTGTAATTCCTGTACCACCTACTTTGTAATCTTAAAGTTATCATTTTTTCATAATCACAAAGTTCATTATATGATACATAACTACAAATAAAGAAAACAAGAACTTATAGTTATAATACCTACTCTGGACCCCCTGTATAATTGAATGTTAAAAAATCTGTGATATAATATCTTCTCTATTAGGTGGATTTTGCTCCTCCTGTTGGATATAAGGAACCTGAACCAAAAGCTGTTGCTGAGGAAGAGCCAACTGTAAGTTTTATGCATACTGCAATTACCATTTCACTGTAATTATCCTAGGGTATTCCCAGCAGGTGAGTAGTCTGTAAGCATGAAGATTTTCTGCTTTTCGGTATAACATAAGTATGAACTAATCTCCTTTAGAAAGTCTTCCTAGCTTAAACTATATCAGAAGGCTGGTTGAAGTTATTTAGCAAATTCCTTATTATAGAATCCGTAACATTTATTTAACTGAAAATCAAAGACTGTAGAGTCTTCATGGTTAATCTGAAAGATTGTTAGCCAGTTTAGACTATTTTGCAACAGAATATATTGGAAGTTCACCGGTATTTCTTATTTTCATGTATGGAAATCTGTATTTTGCTGTGGAATAAGAATATTTTGCAAGATATCTTTATTCAAAAAATGGAAATGTGAGTTTGTTATTGAGAGTATCTTAATTTGAAACTTATTAGAAAAGAAATAAATCAAGTAAAAACTCAATTAAGAGTGCATGTAAAGCTGCTGCACTTAATAATTTTTTAAAGCAAAAATTAAAAAATGATGGAAATTAAATTATAGTTTGTCTTCCATGGGATACAAGAACTTGAAGCAACTTCTGTGTTCTTTATGGCAAAGTAAATATGATATTAGGTAGAGTGGCATGAAAATCAAGTGAAAGTGTAAAAAAATAAATTTACAAAACCATTCCTAATATGTACAAAATTGAGAGGTTAAGCTATTTTTAGGGCAATATATTATTGACCAAAAAATCTGTGTATCAAATAAAAGCAAGGCTTGCAATTAATTGGTTTATACTGTCTTCTTTAGGGATGCAGCAGGAATAACAAATCCTTTTAACCTTTAAATGCTACCTATGTTTCTGAATTTTTCCATTAAAAATTTTAAACAAGAATTTTGAAAAAAAATTAAATTGTTAGTTAAAAATTAATGATAACATATACTATTTACCACAGATCTGCACAGTCAAATTTAGGTACAAAAGACAAATCGATTCAACTAGGTCAAATTGAAATTGCCAATACAACAAGGTGCTTGCATCATTCTTAAATACTTTTAGCCCTATACGCAAATCAGAATTTTATTTGGAGGTTCATTTCTTAATTGCTGGTGTACTTCTGAGACAAAAAAATTATATCTTCCAGAAATTTTTGTTAATTGATTTTAACCCCTTGATAAACAAAGTCAAGAAGGGTTTTCTTGTTAGCTTGTCTTCCTAACCAAATTATTGTGGATTAGTACTAGTGATGCTATTTTACAGTGCTTGAAAGCCCTGAAATATCTACTGACCAAATTTCATTATTAATCAGTAAATGTTCTGGGGTCTTCCATCACTATAAATAGTTTCAACTGTCCTAATCTGTAGTAGTTAAAATAGCACTAATGATAGCAGAAAGTGCTAATTCAAGCATTAATCCTGTCTGTTTGTTACTTCATTCAGGCATTTTTGCTATTTATTAATTTTTGCTGTTATGAATCAGTAGTTCTAAGTCACAATAGCAAAAGTAAAGAAACAGACAATTTTTGATATTGTGAACTTAAATGGTGAAACATTTCTCATGAATAAAAACAAATTTCTCTCATGATCACTTTTGAGTAGTACCTGAAATTTTTCAAGTCTTGCAGATTTATTTTGGTATTTACGTATTATCGCAATCACCTTAGTAGAAGTCACCAAATTTTCAGAATGTGCCAATTTCTGGAAACCCCGCACATAACCATTCTTCAGCAACCATGCTCGTAACAATCCTTCAGTCAAGCAAAATCACCATTTTCGTATGCGTTCTTTTTGTTGTATTCCAAGCTCCAACCTTTTTCTAAACAAATCAGGCTATTTTTTACCTTAAACTTAGTTTTAAAATATGCAATTATGGAATTTGCTAGCATTTAAGAAACTGCGGTAAAAAAATTTGCAAAAATACAAAGTTTTGCCACAAAATCTTGAAAGGGAACTGTGAGGAGATGCATTTGGTGGATAGCTGGTGTCGCTGAAGTTTGTATAATGCCAAGTCTCAGAAGTTCTCTGATTTTTTTCTTACTTCCTTAATTAAAGGAAGTATTGTAATAGCAAAAAATTTGGGAGAAGTATTCATTTTGACCATTCTCAAATCCATTTGGAAGATTTTTTTTACATGACATCTCTACCTACAAACAGAAGAAAGGACTCTTCTCTCCCATATGTATGTTTGTATGTATGTATATATCTTGCATAACTCAAAAACAATTAGCTGTAGAAAGTTGAAATTTTATTTATGGGGCTGCTATAACATCTAATTTTTTTTTTAAGCAAAAACAGATTTAGGTGTACTCAGAGAAAAGTGCAAAACAGTTGTAAACATTTTTGGAGAAGAATGTGTTTTTTTTTAAACACTAATCCTTATGTAATAATCAAAATTTGTGTGTTATACAGCTGAAATAGTGGGTTTTATATATATATATTATATATATATATGTTGATAATGTTTGCAGACTTACAATAAATATTGATAGTTAAGAAAGCCTTTTTTAAGCCATGAAACCAAATAAGTGACTTTTACCTTTTCATCTACAACAAATGATCAGATTGTACTAAAATATTTGTGTTAATACGTAAAAATTTACATGTTAGCTTTCTTTCTTTTTCCCTTCCCCTAGTTCATGATGTCAAAATCCAAGTTCATTTCTTACTGATAAAATGATTTTTTTTAATTGATCCTATGCTCCAAGATAAATTTTCTTATTAACACATATTTTGTTCAATTCTTCGACATTTGCTAACTTCTCTTGCCATTCCTGGTGTTGTACTTTTTCTGATCTGTCCTCATCATCGCAGCTTCTGAAACCATTTAATTACTTAAGAGGTTATATTCTTTGTTAAATCAAATTTTTTAATATTATTCCTCTTTTACATTATAAATCAAAACGTCCCTCTCCCCCCTATCCTAACTATGACAGGCAAAACAGAATACATCAAATAGAGATTTTTATCATAGAAAGATAAACTTGGAAGGTTAAAAATTTTGGTGATAGACATATAATAGTCCTTTGTCTAAGTACCTTGTACAATTTTGTTATTATTATTGTTCATGTTCTGACAGCATTGTTACTACTGCACATGATCCATTAAATTACCATTATCATCATCATATAATTACATTATCAGGGAATCTAAGTCACATTCAAGCTGGCCTAAAGAAGTTCTCAGATATATATCTCACTATGTGGAACAACCTGTATTAATCAAATAATAAAACTTTTTATAGTTAATTCAATATTTTTATGAATAGGATATTTCGACTGAATGTATTTATTACTATAATTTCCTATAAGAAATACTGAAGTATACTTTTTATGAATATGTTTTTCATCTCTTAAGAATTGTATTTTAATTTCCTTTGTTATTACTATATGTTCTCAGAATGATTTTTCTTTTTGAACAGCAACCTGTCGTAAAAGAGCCAGAGCTTCATCCACCAGATACATCATTTGTTGTAAGTGTTAACTTAAATTAGTATGTTAATTATATTAAATTAGTATAATTAAGTTTTATACATGTAATTATAAGTTTGAACTTTCATAGGTTTTTATTTCCAAACAAAAAAATCTAAATACTGTTTTTTAAAAGTTTATAAAGTCATTTAAAAATGCAATTTACTCCATTAGGAGCTTCATACCACTTCAATATCACATTAATAACTTTTGATAATATTTCATTCTTTGAATAAGAGCACTGAAAAAAGCAAAATGTGCACAAAAGACTGTTTCACTCATGAGATTGCTGACCTTCAAAGCACTTTGGATGATTTTCTTTTTACGCGATGATCGGAAATGCATAAGTTTTATGGTCTTAATACCCTGAAGTGTTTATCATTAAAAAAATATAAAAAACCATAAAATTATTTCAGTTCTCCTCTGAAAAAAACAAAAGTTAGTATTGACAGTCCATGAAGCAAATTCTTTAATAATGAAAATTAAAACACAGTTTGAAAATTTTTAATTTTGAAAGCTCTGTTCAATTCAGATAAAGTATATGTTTTATGATTTTAGCTTATACTATTGAAGAAAAATTAAAGATATTATGCATCATCAGTTGGCCCTAGTATCTTTTTGTTACGGATACAATTTTATCACAATTAAAAACGATACATATGTTCAAGATTTAAGTACAAAAGTTAAATCACCAGTTCTGATAAGGGATTATATTTTAATTATTTTGCATTGGGCTGAAATATCCAAGTTATATACTGTAAAGCTGCAAGCCCTGAAATGGCAAAGGACAATCGTGTGGAATCACTTTGTCTACAATTAATCATTTTTAATTTTTTAAACAATTTTCATTTCCTTTTTATCATTGTTTAAAAAATAAATGCATGGTTCATCATGGAGGTAGAAAGTAAGATGGAGTGGCCCTAACCAGTTTACCCCATAGTAGTAGTTTCCCCTAACCATGTAGGGATCACCAGTGCTTCAGAGCACTGGCAATCCCTACGTGGTGACCAAAACATTGGGTAATTTACCATTAAGTTCAATGGGTTTTGACACAATCAGATGTAAATATTTTGTAATTACGGCGTAAATATACATATAAATGTATATATTTTCTTTTTCTACAGTACTTCAGAGTCCTAAGTATATGAAAAGAATACATTTTTAAACAACATTTCATTCTGAAAGGAATTAAAGGCTATACTTTTCACACAACAGTTTGCTCAGAATGGTTTAATTTGAATGAAATATTTTCATAAGTTTTCTTTAAGTACATTAGAAAAAAAAATGTAAGGTAATTCGATTTGATTCGGTTAAGGTACAAAAATTAAGATCAAAGTTTATTGTATTATTAATATTAAAATTATGCATTATTTCTTTTCTATTTATAGAGCTTCTTCCTAAAATATGACATGATTTTGTGGCTTTTGAGGCATCTTTTAAATCGAAAAATATAAGTCAATTTATAATTAATGCTCTATTCTGTTCACTTTAAATTAGAGAATTATTAGAACTTAGCGAAATACTTTAAATAGTACTTAACTTTGTGTAAACATTTTTGACAGGGAATAAAATAAGTTTTTTTTTTTTTTTTTTTTTTTTTTTAAGTATTGTTTAAAACTTCTACCTGACTTATTATAAAATGTAAGGGGAATAATTCTTTTAATTATACTTATCAGATTTTTTTTACCCTTCATTTCAACAATACATATTCCAAAACTCTTTATTACTTTCTTAAGTGTGCATCTCATAGCATTTGCTTTACAATACCTTTTAACAGATTGCTTTCCAGTATGAACAATTCTTGCTTAAATAGTTCTATAACGTATTTGTCAACAGGATTTCAGTTTATGTTTACAATTCAATATTAAGGTTATTATATATTTAGATAACATTTATAATCATTATAAATTAGATACATTTAATAATTAGATTTCTTCACAGTAACTTTCACAGTTGTTTATAAATGAATAAATTCTTCATTTCAAATTCATTTATAAATAATTTAATGAATATTTATGTATTTTGTTAAAGGCAGATACATGCTTTTTGCAAGCACATGCATAAATACCCATGCATATTTCCTATTTTTCATTTTAGGCATGTGCAAATCTTTAATTTCTGTGTATTTACTATATTTTTCGAGTAAAGTAATTTACACTAATTTAACATATACCTGAAAGTTTTACATAACAAATATGTATAAATATAATTTGAATAAATTATATGCAATATTTTTAATACCCACTCAAAGGTAAGTTTTTCTTCAAAATTCCTCCACGATGGCATCTCTCCCTTTAGGCAGATAGCCCTTGCATGCCTTACTCTATTTAATAAAAACTTAACCTGACCTATGTGCATAATTACAAATATTTTAACATGCATAATTTAGCCATCAAGTTTCAAACTTTTGACTTAAAACGCGTTTTAGGACATTCATCATCAAATTCAAATCCTCTAGTAAATATATTTTGGCAGAGCACTCAATACCTCTTTATCAATTTTACACAGTTTAATAATTCTCTGATAATATTATAATAATAATAATAACTAAGTAAAATGTGTAAGCCCAAAGTGTTTTTTTTTTTTTTTTTTCAGATATATAAAAATAAAATGTTGAGTTTAAAATGAGCAACAGTAAAGCCTCTCCTCTAAAAAATTTTTAAAAGTACATGTTGCAATAATATGTGGATGACAAAAAAATTTATTTTATTTTAAATATTTTGGTGTTTGTAACATAAAATAAAAGTAGCGAATGCTCTATCAAGTGTGTCGAAAGGTGTATACAATTTTAAAGGTATCATGAGGTATTTTTAATTCTTTAAGCATAACATTTTTGCTAAAATCTATATTTTTGTAGTTCAACTGCTTAGAATTTTATAAAACAAATTCATAGTCAAAATCGCTGTTGTTAGTTATCGAAAAATAACCAAGATGTGATTTTTGCGTAAATGTCACTAAACTATACTTGCTATAATTCACTTGCTATTATCCATCACACTATGAATGTTTCTTTCATGCAAAAGTGTCCCATTTTTCAATTTGTATGGAACTGTCATGTGTCAAAATACTATTAGAGCACTGTCAAGCAAGCTTCTGAATGTAAACAAAAAACACCCCATCTGGTGACCTAAGCTTCGAAGCAGTGCTTCACTTCTAGTGCCAGTTTGGCCACTCCTTCCTTTCTTACCTCCATGTGTTTTATAAATCGAGGGGGGGGGGAACCTTAGTGAATGCAAAAATAGTGAGCTCTCTGTCCAGAAGATTACTATCATTTAAATTGTTTTATCAAATGCATATTCAACGCACATATTCTTGAGAGTTGGAAAACCAAGTTAAAAAATTTTTCAATTCATAACTTTGAGTGATGCAAACATCTATTCGGAAGAGAAATAGAATTTAAAAATGGGCAATAAAAACAAAATCAGATTTATGTAAATTTTGAACAAACTGTCATTTTCATAGATAAACCAGACATAAGCCCCTTATCTTCAGGAACAAAAGCATTTATTTTTCCATAGCTGTCAACCTTTAAATATGATAAACTATGAGTGTCCACTGCGTGGTGGCATTATTTCAGAAAAACTCCAGCTGGTTTAAATTCCCTTTATAATGCATGAATCAGATTATTCAACTACTTATAGTAGGATATAAAACATACAACTATTTAATTTGGTAGTCTAAACTTTATGCTAGTTTCTGTTTTGGCTGATTTCTTTTATAATTTTCTTACACTTTTAAACTGAAAAAAAAAACCATGAGTAAGAAAGGAAAACTTAAGTTTATCACAGTACTTTCAAATTCGAATAAAATTGAATAATTAATGTGCATACTATTTAGTAGTATATAATATATTGATGTAAAACCAAATTAAATACAAATATTTACTGATTAGACATTGGTTGAATCTGCATATAAAGCTCTGCAAATGTCTACAGTAAGTAAACACAATTTAGGTCAAATTAAATTAATTTTTAAAAAAATATGCTGAAAATCACTAGGTGTGGTGGAGGAAATTTTTCCAATTTAAATTTCAATATTTCAATAGATTTAATTAATTCAAAAATTATGAACTCTTTGTCCAGGAGATGACTTTCATTTAGACTATTTATGAAATGGACATGCGACAGTTGTAAAACCTTAAGAATTTTTCAATTCATAATTACTGAAAAACTCTTTCTTTAGTAACAGCTAAAAATTAAAAAATGGGAGATTTGGTGATCTGCTTGGGGACCAGGTCATGTGACAAAAAACCAGAGAATTGGTAGACATGCCAATCTAAGATTGCTTTTTGCCTGATTTTAAATGTAGATATGTAAATAAATTTATTTTATTATGAACTTTCGCTTGATAAGTCTGTCTCTTGCCTGTTCAACAGTCATTCACTTATGCATTTTTAAAAAATTAATTTTAATTTGCTAAATTTATTTTCATTGTTTGGTTTTGCACTTGATTTACTTATGCTATCTGAATTTAAATGATATTGTATATTAGTTCGAAAATTAAATCTTTTATATGTTTGCACATTTTTTTTTAATATTTTAACTTTAAATTTGCTTTTTTACGTATTTACATGTTTGTTAAAATTTAAATTTCATTCCTTGCAGCAATGGTGCAAAGAATTAATTAAATTTGTATTTAAATTCAATTTATTCTTTTGTAACTATTTTATTATGAATATGTAGATGTATAATGTGCAAAGACTAAAGATTATATGGAAAAATTTGCTAAAAGAAATGTGTAAAATGACAACTGTTTTTTTACTTAGCAGTTCCTTCTGCAATAATTTTATTTTTACTTGGTAATTGTTTATTTGATGGTGCCATAGTTAATTAATATTTCTTGTGTAGTAAGAAATATCAAACCTGTAAGAAGTCACAGTTGTTCTTTGGGCATTGTTCTGTGTCAGCTGCAATTGATGATAGTATCCCTTTATCCTGTATCCAAGATTTATGTTTATTCATTCTAAGATTTTTCATTCTAAGATTTATGTTTATTCATTCTTATTCCATTTTTAAATTCAAAAGCTAGTCCTGTGTACATTATAAAGGAATTCATTCTTTTACCATGTTTCTATATTTTTAGCTATCCTGTATGTTATTCTGCTTTAAATTATTATTCATACTTATTTTTTATTCTCAACTGCCAAAAATAATCCCATAAATTGTGGAAAGGGTGAAAAAAGGCCTTAACCAAAATTAAATTTCTTTTTAATACTTTAGTATTTTAGCTAGGTAATTTCTTCTTAAACTAAATTTTAAATCTTAAGAATTGTGTTTAAAATTTATGTGAATGGTGTAAATTGAGCTGTTAATTACTTTGTATGTTCATTTGTAATGTTTTATATTTTGTGCTGGTTTGGCAGGCATTTTGTGGAAAAGGAAATAGACTGGATGGTAAAACAAAGGAAGTAGAAATATCTGACAAAGCACTCAATGCACCTCCACCAAGAAGGTAAATGTATTCCAAATTTTATTTATATGGTGATAACTTAAAACTTTGAGTGTTGTATATATTTTATGCACTTGCAGTTTAATTGATGAAAAGTATGTATGCATTTGATTAAAATGTATGAAGTGATGATTAAATCAAGAGTGGTATATATTTTATGCACTTGCAGTTTAATTGATGAAAAGTATTGCATTTGATTAAAATATATGAAGTGATGATTAAATCAAGAGTGGCCAAACTATATGTCAACAGAAGCCACATGTTATCATGATGAAAGTGTATAAATCAAGAGTGGCCAGACTGTATGTCAACAGAAGCCACATGTTATCATTTGGGATATACAAGAGCGAGAGCTAGATTTGCTAAAATTACTGTTAAATATAAATGTTATTCAAATGAAAACCTTATTATATTAAGTATATTTATTGTTATTATTATATAAAACAAATGAGAAAATACAGAAAAATTTTACATATGTGATTTTGGATGTTTCCTTTGAAAGTGCAGTCCATAGATCTCACAAGAAAAATCCTTTTGGCTATGACTGTAGCCAATCATGCACTGTGGTTTTCACCTCTTCATCACTCTAAATGCACTTACCTTATATTTTATCTCTGAGCCATCCTTACACATAAAAGTCATCAGGAGGGGTGAGTGTGTGTGTGAGACATTCAAATTCCGTATCATTGATTGTCGCAACTGTTAAAATATGTAGTAACAGTGTATCTCAAGGCCTCTTCACTTATTTCTGTTTGAAGGGTGAAAAGAATTTTGGAAAAGGTCTGCTTAACAAGTACTGATTACTGTTGCTCCCTTTTTCTATGTGATGTTCTAAAATGACTACATTTGCTTTTCAGAAGAAAGTAAGAATTACTTTTTCTGTTGGTGGTTGGGTATAGAATTTTTGAATTTTGTCAATGGCTTATGGCCTTCCCCCCCCCTTTTTTTTTTTTTTTTTTTTTTTTTTTGTTTTTGTTTTTTGTTGTTGGTTTTAGGTTGGTTGGTGGCAGTGTTCATGTTAATCTTCTGTAGCAATTTTTTCCAGAATCCATCTTCTTTGTCCTAGAAACATTTTCCATGGGCATCAATCAATATGGCAGTCTCTTAATTCAGCAGTCAACTGATATGGCATCTATCTCACGGGCACTTATTAAATCACATTGCGTCATGGATAATACTGTATGCTGAACCCACACTAATATTTAAATTATATTTACATTAATATTTAAAAGATTCTATTTGGAATCGCTCTACTAGCAGGTAATTCTCCATTAACTGAGTGGATCTTGCCGCTCGTACTCTGCAACATTTTATGCATTTCCAAATGCATTTTTTAAATTTCATTCTTTTCACTTATTATCCAGTATTTCTGTCGTATTGCAGATAACATTAAGTGCAACCCTCCGAGTAAATGTTTTTCGTGATAATGCTGTATTAATTAATTAGTTGAAACGTGATTATTATTTGGCAATATAATGGGATGTTTACTTTCTTTGGTAAATTTCTGCGTTTCTTAATCTACTCCTACTCTTAAAATTTCTTTTTCATGTAGAAATGGATTAAGTGAAATGATTTTGCTTTTAGTTTTAATCGGTTGTTCTGTCTTTAAAGCCTTGATTTCTGCTGAAAATTCATTAAGTTGAACATTTCTTATAATAAATTCTGAAGCCTTCCTTAATTCATAGGCGGTAAGCACACCAGATTGCTTTTCGCGAGCAGATTTACAGTAGTTCACGAAGCGCAGAACATAAGCCATTATTCCCAAAACTTTGTTTAAATCTCCGTACAGTTCAAGATTTAGTAACAGTTCTGTAGATTCCACAAGTGCTTTTTAAAGTAACACATTTTCGTTCTTTACTAACGTTTTGCAAGTCAGCTTCAGTATTCATTTCGGTTATGTGACATCGAATATCTACTTCTTAAAGCCAAGGTGGCCCAGAAAAACAATCACTATCATTAATTAGAGCTTCAGCATTCATCTCTCTCGTAAGTTTATCAGCAGGGTTGGTCTTCCCACTGCAAAAGTACCAGTTGTTTAAATTTGTTTTCTCCTTGATTTCTACCACACGATTTCTTGATCCAGTGAATGCAAATTTTGGAATTGGTCCAGTAAAATATATTTCCTGTATCCAACTGCGGAAATATCGATTGCAAATACGAACTTAATCTTGCAGAAATTAATGTTCCCAAAAGTTCAAGCCTAGGGAGTGTTACCTTTTTTAATGGAGCTAAACGGAATTTCGACATTATGAAACTTGTTTTACATTTATTTTTCTTCTCAAATCTAAAATATGCTGCAGCACCAAAACACTTGGGACTGGCATCAGAAAATATGTTGAACTTCTATAAACTTCCAACACATATCACTGAAGTACTGTCTGGGAATTTCGAAAAACTTTATTTTTTCAACTTCTTTTAACCATTCTTGAAATATGAATTCTGTATCAAGTGGAACATTCTCGTCTCATTGAATACCCTTTTCCCACATAGTTTGCATTAAGAGTTTGATTCGAACAGTAAATGGATTCATAATTCCTAAGGCTTATGTTAGGTTATTTAATTACGGCAAAGCCTCGAGGGCTATCTGCCTAAGGAGAGGGATACCTTCATGGAAGACTTTCTAAAGGAAAGTGGCTCATATACAGATTACACATGGGAAAATGCTTCGCGGGAAATCTCAGATGTGACATTTTTAATTCTAAGGATTACCACATGCTGCTAAAATGATGCGTTAGTTACTTTAAGATTTTGTAACTTCTCAAACTGAGATACATCTATTTTCAAATTATCATTGACATTGTCCCAGATAAGACCTAAAACTTTCAATGGTATCAAAGAGTCTTCAGATGTCCACGACAGTCAGTTCCATTAAGTTTCCATAGTTCATTTAGCTGAGGTGAGTTTGAAACCCGTCTACGTAAATTCATACTGACTTCGCTAAGAATGAAAATCATGTTCTTGCTTAAATGTAAGGCCCTTGCTACATTAACTGTCCCAAAAATTAAATCATATAGCTAAAGCTCTTTTAACATACTGCATGCCTCTTCGTATTCATTTTCATACTTTTTTAATTGCAGTCTTATTACAGCTGTTATATAATATATAAGGCGAGCACTTCACCTCGAAAGGGACTCTATTGTGTTGGAGAACCTGTAAGTTGGGATTACTGTGATCGAGATTTAACCCTACTTCATTTATCCACAAAAACTTTAAAAAATCTCTATCTTCTTTAGCTAAGCCTACCTCTAAAAGTGCATGCTGAATTTCGGCACAAAACACGATTTAATGTACCCTGAATTTAATGATAATCCTTAGCAAGTTGGGATTTAAATTAGGTTTGCTTTCCAAACAATCATTAAGTGATAAATTGTCCTTACTTTTAGAAGAAGCGTCAAAAACTATTCGAACCTTTGTAGAATCCTTCTGCTCGCGCACTACCACATGATGAGGCATGTAATACCCTGTTTTCAAATTACCATTTAATTACGTATTTGCCTGTTCCACTGTACCATCTCTCAAGTGTTCATTAATTATCTCATTTTATTTTAAATATAGCTGTCTGTTTTTCTGAAACTTATTATTTAAAAATAGCAAATGTTGTTTCGCAATTTCATAATTTATTATTTAAGCCTTCAACACCCTCTTTCCACAATAATCGAGTCTCATACCTTTTATTCTCATAGGTTGTATTTCGTTCTAATGACTCTAAAATTTCTTTTTCTGATCGAGATATTTTTTTATCCGAACTAATCCCAATTGTTTCTAATTCCCATAATTTTTTAACTCTTTCATAATCTAAGTCCTCATTTACAACGGTTATATGATTAACTCTTGCGTCCTTACACTTTGATCCTTCGTCCTTGCCTTGAATCACAAAACCGAAAGTGCTTTCTGTTGCGACTAATTTTTTACAAATCTTCACGTTTCGTTCTCCTAAAATTTCCCAAATATAATCCGAACCTATTAATACTTGAATTTCGTCACTCGTACCAGCATCTGCTAATTCTATTCCCTTCTCAAACGCCCTCTTTCATATCCACCGAGAAGGAACTTTTACTTGCCCTCAGTTATAGAATCAATGACTATTGCGTTAATTTTTATCCTTTTTGGGATGGCTTACATTTTGCAATACGATTTCTACGAATATCATACAAGCACTCTTTTGCATCTAAATGTGAAAATAATAAGCGCTTCTTTATTAATATTTTTCAACCCCAGTGAATCAACCACTTCTCGTAAGATGAATGACTTTGTTGACCCTGAATCTAGCATACAACTTAATACCTTTTCTCTCCCCCCTTTATACCTCATTGTCACTACAAATGTCTGTAAAAGAACGGAAGTTGGAGGTTTAATTTTGTTGTTATTTTCATTACATAAGAGCAAAAAAGAAGCTTCAGAGATTGGCGTTTGTTTTGTCTGCTTGGAGGCATCCGTCTCTAAATCTTTCGATGCAGCGTCACATATTAATGAATTATGTATACCCTTGGACATTGCACCAGTCTGCACTTTTTCATCTTTATGAGCACAGGAAACGCCTTGGATGATACCTTTTCGAAAAAGCAAATAAAACATAAACCTCGATCCATTAATGCCTTTCGGCGAGCCTTTAAATCAAGTGCGCAATCATGATTCATATGACAAGCAGATAAACAAAATATGCAGACATTTTGATTCTCTTTCTTAGGCGGGGTAGAGAACTTTCGGTTTTGGATTAAAATGTGATTTTTAAAAAGTATTTAGAGGGAGTTTCGCTTTGACTAGTTAATACCGAAGCACCTTGCTTATTCGTACCATGTAATCATTTCTTTTAGAATGCATGTAAGATTTATTTTGATAACCTTGATGGGAACTTTTGTTTCGTATTGATGTTTCATTTACATCAAAATTCTTAGAACGCGCTAACATCATTGATGTTTCCCTATATTCCACTTTCGTTTTCAAGAACGTTAGTAGTTCATTAACATCGAAATCTTGTTTATCACTTCTTTTCCTAGTGAATTCTAGAGTTGAATT